TCTTGGAAGAAGTCACAAAGATTGAGATTAAGGTTTAAAAATAATTTTATCATCAAGTATTCTAAAAAGAGAACTCAAGAAACAGCTTTCCATTGTAGGGAGTGTTTAAGTGCATCTGGGTGACTGACCGTTTGTCAAAATTTCACAGAGAAAATAGAAAAATTCAATGAGTATTTGAACCAGTCTCAAAAAGCAATTCTCCAGCACCAAGACCTGTGCAAGTCATTGGAAATCTTGAGTAAATTAGGTATTATCCTTCCTTTCAAGAGAACCATGGTTTATTTGGGTAACAGGTAAGTAAAAGTCAGTAACATGTGTATATGATGAAATGCTAAAAAGAGTAAGTATTGGGGTGCAGAGAAAGGGCACTATTCTGAACCCAGAAGATGGCAGAAGTGATGAAAAAGAAGATAGGTTGGATATAGAGAAAGACAAGTGTGAATTGATTGTAACTTGGTGGATGATGTCATCATCCAGCCAAATTTTGGCTGAGGTGAGAAGCTGAAAGGAGTGGAGCTCCCTGTAATAGATTGGGATTCCACGTTGCATGGAGGAAGAGGGAAATAGAGGAGTTGGGGAGAAGGGAGGAATAGAGTGGGTGATAGGGAAGGGCTGGGATAAGCTGTATTTATTCTTTTTTTATGTCTTCATCCTTTCAACTAACATAGTGCCACGCACTGTTGAAGTTGCTCAGCATTCAAAAAAGAATTAGACATGGTCTTTGTTCTTAAGGAGTTCATAGTTCAATGAAGGAGACAGACATGAATTAAGGTAAGTGTGATAGAGGTACAAAGTGTGAAAGGAGCACACAATAACCCCAAAATTTATAGGGGAAAGGAAGGCAGAGAGGATCAGAGGAGGTTTTATACACAGAAACATCCTAAGTAAACCCTAAAGGATAGACATCACAGAGAATGAAGACCTAAAGACTTAAAGTTGAATGAAGTTTCTGATGGATTAGATCCAGTTCTAAGTAGCTGCAAAGCTGAGTGCTTGCATGGGCACAGTGATGTCATTGTGGAAGCATAGGATGAGGTAAAAAAAAATGTAAAAAACAGGATTGATTGTATGAAGGCCAATCTGAGGAGGCAGTGAGGTTTAGGGAGGAGAATGGTGTACTCAGATTCACCTTTAGAAAGACTGGAATGAAGGGGTGAGTTCAAATGAATGTTGTGTCCGGCACTGCAGGAATGGGGCTGGAGAGGCAATGTTTCGTAAACACTACAAAAATGAACAGGCCAGACAAGGAAATGACTCATTTGATAGGTCAAAGTGACATGACATGACCATTTTGAATGAGTAATTTAGAGGATTCATATGGGCTCAGATGTCTGTAGGTTGCTGAGGAAGGAATCAGCAATAAAGACAGTGAGCAAAGTTATCAAGGCTGAAAGAGGCTGCCAAGAGCACTGGGCAAAGTGAGTGGCTAGAACTGGTTAGTAAATTTGGTGATGTGGACTCACTTGGCCTAAGCTATTCCTCTTTTTGGGAGCACTGCAGGCACTGACAAGCAAGGCTTGGAGATTGATGGCTTAATGCCTCCCCGTAAAATCCAGGGGCTTTCACTTGAGTTTCAAGGGTAGGCATAGGTGGTGGGGTGGGACGTGTGAATTCCCTAGGTTGTATAGTAAATGTATTGCGTCTAGATATGCACATTTTTCCCCCAGGAAGAGGGGCCATAGATAACAATGATTCAAAAATTTCCACTCCACATTTGACCTACCTCCTCCCCAACACTAAGGGTAACAAATGAGTGCTGTGTACACAGTAGCTAAAAGTTGTGGCTGGAATGTCTGTTTGAACCCAGGGTCCCCACTGTGGAAGACCAGAGTGGAGTTTAACTTGGGGCCAGCTTGATCTCGTCCCGTATCAGGCTGAGAAAGGAATGATTCTCTGTAGACGAAGCTTAAAAGCACAGGCCAGCCCAGTAATTTGTGCCTATTTGATGAGGGAATGCTTATAGAGACCACAACAGGTATCAGGGGAAAATAAAGAGGAGGGGCCCCTGAGTGTTGCAGAACATTTAGGCTTCAGTCTTCATTCAGTCTGTTTCCTGGGGCTGGGTTGTGACCAGCTAAGGAGGTAGCTTTTTTTCTGTTTTGTGAACTTAGGAGATCCATGTGCCAGAAAGAATTCTTCTGGCACTTGTAGAGCAAAAAAGGGCCCTGTCATTCTCTCCCCCATGACCTTTGAGGAGTCCAGGAGCAGGGCAGGTTTTGCTCTACCTAAGAATTGTTGTGTGGTGTGAAGTACAAAGCTATGGAGTTGTAGAGTGAGTGAAGCTGCAAAAAGTGGCAGAGCTTGGCTTTGCCCAGCCTTTCTTGCTGCTGGTGTCAAGGCTCACCTGCTGCAGACCCCTCCCTGGATGGGTGGGTTGTTTGTTTTTGTCTGTTTTTTGCTTGGAAGCCAAGGCTAAAATAACTCCAAAATAGGAGTAAGTAACAATGTCCTCCTTAAGTACTTAAACATGGTATATCATTCTGTTTCCAGTCTGAAAACAGAACACCCCCTAGTAAGTAGAACAGGTTAAAATTAATATAATTAATGTGAAAGGTGACTATTAAAGAGCCTGACATGAAGCTCTAAGGAATACAGAGATAGTACATGGTGAAAGCAGCTACACCTGTAAGGCAAAGGGAGAGTACAAAGGAACTAAGAACTAAGAAGAGCCCACTTGAGGGTGAGATACAGACCTTATTATAAAGGGTATGGCTACCACAGGATACACAACAGACTGGTTGTTAGAAAGTTGCTAGTGAGTGTGGGCCGGAGAACTGACAATGTGTGGCGGAGAAACTAGCTGGCGGGTTCCAGTTATGAGCAAGGACCACAGAGGTGAGTGCCACTGGGCTGCCCCTACCTGATCTGCTTAGTGTCCCTCTTCCTCTCAATTGACAAAGCCTAATGTTGCACCAAGGGATGAGGTCTACCCCCAGTGCCATAAAGCAGGGATAATGTCTTTGGAACTGAAGGCAATGTAGTGGTAACTGACACACTTGTAAACACTGTTTACCACAGATCAACAGCAAAATGTTGGAGTCTTTTTCTATTTAATTAGAAAACAGACAAGATTTCTATCTTAATGATTAATCAACACCATGTGGAAAGTTTTTGCAAATTTGGTAAGATAAAATGAAATAATTGGTATGCTTCTTGCATAAAAGCAGATAAAAAGATAAATTTTTTTTTTATTTTCAGAAAATATGATTATGTACTTTGAAAACCAAGACACTCTACCACAAAACAGACAAAATAATCTGTTGGAATTGATAAGAGAATTTGATAAGGTGTATGAATATAAAGTAATCATAGAAATTAAGAGATCTTTTCCCCTGTAACCAATAAAAATTAGAAGAAATAACATTTATGACAGCAAAAAAGAATAAAATGCATAAGAATACATGAATCAAGAAAGTTAAGGGATGAGGAAATCCAACATCTTCTGAAAAGACTTAACATAAGACCCATCTTTTAGGATGGTAAGAATTAATACTTTAAAAATGCCAACATTCCATATATTAATTCTAATTTTAATGGAACTTAGGATTCTATTTCTATTCTTCTTCTTAGAAATAGACAAATGATTTGAGGCTCATATAAAAAAATCTGTTCAAAAAAAGACCAAGAGATTTTTGACAGAAAATAATGAGGGCAGTATTTATTCTATAAGTTATTAATATAATTTTAAGTTATAGAAATTAAAACACTACAATATTAGCATTGGATTGAGCAAGTATTTAGTTAAAAAAAAAACCAAAAGTATATTCAAGCATATGAAGAAACAATGTATGATAAAATTTAGTAATTAGGTTAATTTAATAATTGGCTATCAAAAGGGAAGGAAACAGAATTAGACCTCCTTCACACTTTATACAAAATAGATTTATAGAAGAATTTATAAAATCCTAACAGTTAAATAAAAAAAAAATTAGAGGAACTATCAGGAGTTTGTGTTGGGGAGACCATCTTAAAGCAAGAAACAACAAAATCTCAAAGGAAAAGACAGTCTTAATGACAAAGTTCTTAAATTTTATACAGTAAAAGCATATCATAAAGTTGAAAGATGCCTTTTAGACTGGAAAAATATTTGTAAGAGACAGAGATGATATCCTTAATATGCAAAACACTCCTATGAATTAACTGGGGGAAAATAATGTGGAAATAGGATCAAGGGACCCCATGAGGCAATTTAAAGAAGAGGAGATGCACATAAACGTTTGCAAAGATGTTCAGCCTCATTATTTTTAAAAAATGCAGATTAAACTGACAATAAGATACCATTTTCCACCCAGATGACTGGCAAAACTATGGAGATCACATCTAGTTCTGTGGAGGTTGCAGGAAAATGAGAACTATTATCTGTGAATTACTCCAACATTTTGATCCAAAATATTTAGCAACATTTGATAAAAAAAAAATTAAATACACATATGCTACGACCCCTGTAATTGGATTCCATTAATCCAATTTTGGGAAATGTATAAGCACCAGTATAAAAACTTGTTCAAGGATGTGTAATATGATATTTCATAGTTTCAACAGCTTATATAAACAGTGGATATACAAAGACACAATATTCTTAATTTCCAAAACTAAATTCAAACCTTAAGACTCCAGCTTGCTTTCTGAGGGACAATTTGATTTAGATGCTTCCAGATAAATTCAGTTCAATAAGCAATTTTTAAAAAAACATTAAGTATAATTTCCTAGTTTGTGGTTTCCAATGATGAGATTTTAGTTGAGCTTTGAGGAAAAAGAGGAGTAGGACCAACATAAGAGGTGAGTGCATGTGTGTGTGTGTGCATGTGTGTGAGAGTGTTGGTTGAGTAAACAAGAGAGGCACATCCCAATGGAATAACAATAATAATACTGAACTGAAAATGAAATTGAAACTAAGATTATCCCAACTGGCCAAGATAACTTTCCCCTCCTCAGCTAGCTTTGAACATCTTCTGTTTATTGCTGCAGTGATTATTACTTTTCTGAATGCATTACAGCAGACAAGCAAGAAGATTAGCCCCTGCCTACTGAGATATGCATAATGTCCCCAAGGAATGTGATGCCTTCCAGGAATTTGATAGTCTTATTTTTCCGAGTGGATGGTGTCCTATTTTCATCCTGCCTGAGCCTACGAAAGAGAACGTAAGTTTTTATTTAGAAGTCCCTAAATTTATATTGTGTTTTAAATTTTACAAGTTAAACTTCATATTAATTCACTTTTAAAATTCTCCAGATTTTGCAAAATAGGAAATATAATCATCTTATTTTATTATTAGTATAGCAATTAAGACTTATAGAGGTTTAATCATTGTACTTGGTAGAACTAGGACTTGCACTAAATATTTTCAAACCAACTTCAATGCTTTTTTCCCTAAACCAGTGTTTCCCAATTTCAGGTGTCATGTATCCCCTATATAATTTTTGCTATGCCCAACTATAACCTTAATATTATTTACTTAAGACAACCAACTTAAATCTAGGACAATGACTAGGTTTTTTTATTTTTAGTCTTGTCATAGCAATATATATGAAATATGTGGTAGATGTGTTAGCCATTTTTCCCTAATATATGTTAAAAACAAATACATAGCTATAAATTCTGTTTAGGTGAGAAACATTACCTTAAATAAACCAAATGCCTCTCAGAAGTTTTAAAAGAGTTGACTTCATTAGTATTTATAAGATTTGATTAATGAGTTCTTTAGAGACTCTTGACTCTGGAAAACAAACTGAAGGTTGTGGAAGGGGAGGTGGGGGGGTATGGTATAACTGGGTGATGGGCATTAAGGAGGGCATGTGATGTGATGAGCCCTGGGTGTTATACACAACTGATGAATCATTGAACAGTACATCTGAAACTAATGATGTACTATATTTTGGCTAATTGAATTAAAAAAAACTTGATTAATGAAAACAGCAGGGAATTACCAACCTACCAACAGACCAACTGTTCTCTACTTTCTGTGGGTGGGGATGGACAAGGCAGGAAGAATCAAAATTCTGAATTATGATTGGTGAGTGTGGTAGGTATTCTTCAAGAAGTGGCAGTCTTCACTATTAATTCCTTCCTTCTCTGTATGTACATGCCTCTCCATGCATCAAAAACTGAAGCTATTAATCCTCCCCCTGAATCTAGACTGGATTTATGACTTGCCTTAACTAATAGAATGTGGTAGAAGTGCTATGGCAGCTCTTGGTCTAACTTTAACAGTTTTGGCAGCTTGGGGAAGACAGCCACTATGCTGTAAAGTAGTTTGGATTAGTATAATCAATTAATTGATGCCATGTGAGGGAAAGAAGGAGGCCACAGAAAGGAGCACCAAAGTACTAAACATGTGAGTGACACCATCTTCGACCTTCTAACTCAGCCCAGAGGCCAGACAACTTCTGTGGGATAGGAGAATGAGCCTCCCCAAACTCTGACACATAAAATTATGGTAAATAATAAATTGCTTTAAGCCACTAGATTTTGGCATGTTTTGTTATGTAGCAATAGACAATTGAAATAATAATTATGGGACCATAGCATTGGAAATACCTGAGTTCTTCTGCTTTATAGCTGAGTATTGAAATCATTGAAATCTTATGAGTATGGTAAAGACTGTTGGTTGTTTCCCATTGTTCTTAATGTTTTTCTTTCTCTCACAGTAATAGAAACTGCAACTTTTAGCTAGGGAAATAACAGTTGGAGAATAAAGATTACATTTCCTAGCCTTCTTTGGTGTTATGTGTGGCTATGTTACTAAGTTTCAATCAATGCAATAAGAAAATAAATGCATACAACTTCATTGTTGGTTCTTAAAGATAGGAGACAAGCTCTTACTGTCCCCAATTCCTTCATACTGCTTCTTGGAAGGTGGGTGATTTTATACCACACAGATAAGTACACTCTCTAGATTTGATGGAGCAACAAGATAGAAGTCATGATCCCTGCATGATTTCATGGAGCAGAACTACCATCCTTTATAGACCATCTGCTTATTACGTGAAAGAGAAATTTCCATTTTGTTTAAAATCTCTGTTTTCTGTTACATGTAGCTGAATTTTTATGTTAACTAATTAATTTGATTTCTGCAGACCTGCAGATCTTGGAAACAGTGTTCCTCAGGAGAAGGAATATAAAGGCTATGAGCCCAAGAGCTGCCCTAGTAGCTTTCCATGAGGCCAAAAGCTGCCAAGAGACTAATGTGAAAATAGGTATGATTGGCTACTTACACAAGTAAGTATAATCCTCAAAGGTAAAGAAGAGCTGTGTCCTCCAGCTGAGTATGTGTATGGTTTTAGGGTGTACTAAATTCAGGAAATAGACTCTGGATCTTATCCCCTGCCTTGTATCCTGCATTATAATATCACTGAAACAGATAGTGCCTGGTTACATCTGTCCATTAACTATTTGTGGTCCACTAGACTATGAGCTCTATAAAATCATATTCTATTTGCCTAGGGCAGGAGCTCTGCATAAGTTGCCTATCCAAAATCTGATCTCCCTCCTTCCTTAATATAAACTTGGATTTGAAAAACTCTATAGTTGAAAAAGTCTCAGACTCCTTTGCAATATGGAGTCTATCTGATACAGTTTCTGCCACTGAGATAAGTAAAAGTGATAAATGCAAAGTTTCTGGGAAAGTTTTGTTTTTGTAATAAGTGCTACTGCTACCCCCTATTCCTTGTGATTTTCCTCTTATTCTTCCTGCCTGGAAAATGGATGGAAGTGGAGCAATCATTTTGTGCCATAAAAATAAAAGCAAGAAGGAGCTTGGGACATTTATATTATCATGGAAGCTGGATTAACTCCAAATTGTTGTTTTATGAGAAATACCCATTATTTGGTTAAATGTTATAGTAAAGTTTCTTTCATAGTCAGTCAAATGAAATACCTTGCCTCCTCATCATTTTATTAAACCAAACCATTTGCAGAACTAAAGAATATCAATCATGTAGAAAGGACACACTTAACATACATGGTGGCTGAGTACTGCTAATTTCATGTGTGTCTTTCAAGGAACCAGAAACTCTTGTTTGTGAGATATGACTTAACATATATATGTATGGTGTATAAATGTATACATTTAAACCTTTACTGAGTCATGTTTCTTTCCATTTATATGTTCAGTGGCTGAAATCACCAATCCAATTACATATTATAGAGTTGTAAACTTTAACCTTAAAAATGAATGTTTTGTTCATAATAAATTTTGTTTATAATTCCATGAGAATACAATGAATCTGCTTAAGAAGTTATTCATTGCAACAAATAGCTCACAGCAACACAGTTCAACTAGAAACAGTGCATTTTATACAGTAAATGCTTTCTTTGTACCCTTCTCCTCTCACTTTTTAGAGCATTGCTCTCCTTCAGATGGGCAAGATAGGTTTGTAGACAGAAAGGCCAAGGAGAAAGTAGAAGGAAGAGAACATTTAGGGGTAGTGGAGTGACAGAGATGAGGGACTCTGTAGAAGGCCTCTGAACATGGGATGTCACCATTTATGGCCAGAGACCATTATAGAATGTTGAGCACTCATGAAGGCTCCAAATGAACAGGAGACTTTTTCGAGTGACAACATGAATGAGTGTTATGGATGGGTCTGAAACCCTACATCCTAGGCTCCAGTCCAATGTTGCTCTCTGCAATTGTGCAGAACCTCAATTCCCTCATTATCAAGGAAGACATATATATCTCATTAGCTTTACATAACATTTTGACTTGCTAATTATAAGTGTAAATTGTATTTCAGTATGTGTGCTTATACTTGTGGACATTTTGTTCTTATAGATTCACTGGCCCACAGGAATTGTAGTTTAATGGAAATAGGGCTGGGCTTGGAGCCAGAAAACCTGGCTGGAATAGACCTAGTTGTTAAGCCATAGACCTGGTTGTATAATTTTGTGCAACTCTTATCTGTAAGCCTCAGAAAAATATAGATAATAGTCATCTTACAGTGTGTTATGAAGCTTTTATAAAATAGCGTAGTTGTCCCACAGGACTCCCCAGTAAAACTGAAGAGATGAAAGATAGAAGCATCGGAAAGGGGTGTGGCCAAGCCATATGGGTTAGCAGGGGTCTCAAGCTTGAATACCTACTAGTTCACGCAGGTAATATAAAGGTGTGAAGTAGTAACTCTGTGGTGATTTACAGAGTACCGGCCCAGGAGGGCATAAACTTTTGAAGCTCAAACTGATTGTTGTTATGTAAAAAATGTAGGCTTAGATTTTCTGATTTTTAAAGAGATGCCAGGAATGTGGGTGTAAAACTTTGTTTTCAAAATAATGGCAAATATTTCAGAATGTTAAAAGATTGTTGGACCAAACAACATAACCATGGATGTAGTTAGTGGGTACTGGTTTGTGATCTTTGAGTTTCAGTGGATTTTACGGGAGGGCTTCAATTTTTCTTTTCTTCTAGTTTAAGAAAACCTGTTGGCTGAGGAAACTCTTACAAATATCTGAGGTTCTTGTCTCCAACACAACTTCTTAATTTACCTTACAAGTAAACAGGCTCCATTAAAAACAAACAAACAAACAAACAAAAACACAGGAGAGCTCACCCAAATATAAGGTGTTGAAAGGAAGTTGCCTTATTTCATCTGGAACAATGAGTAGGCAGAGGATATATTGGCTCTGTGTGTAAAGTAAGGATGATTGAATGTGACCAGGAAGTGGCCAAGAACATGAATATCTAAAAGAAGTAATCTAAAATAGGCTCACTGGGACATCAGAAAAAAAACTCTTTTTTTTTTTTACCCACTGTCCAGCATCTTTTAGTTTGAAATCCTCAGGTATAGGACCAATTGTAGTCAGTATAGTCAGGTCTTTGTGAATATGAAACACTTCATTGAAATCTTATTGTCTGAACATTTTCGTCCTGATCTCTATTTTTTGTTTTAGTTTTTGGAGCATCATCTGGGGGGAGGAGTGTTCTCTGCTGCTGCTTCATCCTAGCGAGAGAAGCCACATACTTACGCTGAGGTAGGATTTGACAAACACTTCTGAAACATAGGTTAAATCTATTAGAATCAACTATTGGAAAATTCAAATTCCTCATAGCGTGGAGTTATTTATTACAGAGTAGATTGGAGGAATTATGTGGTGGGGAGTAGCAATTGCAAAAAAAAGGAGAGATCAGATCTGTTGGGTTCTGACTCTGCTCTAAACCTTATGCTATTTGATCTCTTTTGGGAATTTCATTCAGATATGTAGATTTCTGGACCCCTTCCAATTCAACAGAGGAAACTCTGTGAGTAAGCTGCTTGTTTCTTTCCTCATAAATGATAGGTGAAGGGCTTAATAAAAAATAAAAATTAAAAAAAGAAACTTTCTGTTGTCTGGATAAGTACTTCATATTATATATCTCTATAAATTATATATCACATTTTTATCCATATATTTTATGCATCTACATATCTATCATATCTGTATATTATCTATATAATCTACATATTACTTTATACATAACATTACATATTATGTATACATTATACATTTATATATTATATATTATGTAATATCTATCTAATATCTAATATCTAGATATTACATATCTATCTGTATCTTTACATTTTCATAGAATTCTCCCACTTGGGTTTTTTTCCTCTTCCAAAAGCCACCTTGTATTGATGGTTTTACTCTATATTAGAGTTCAGATAGCATAGTGGTTGAACTCTGAAGTTGCACTTCCGGATTTAAATCTGATTTTCTTAACCTCAATATCCTGACATGTAAAATGGATATACTAATTAGATACCTCATATATTATTAGTATTACATTAAATAGTACTTAATATAATAGTAGCTATTATTATTATTAGTTCTTTATATCAACTGTGGAAAATAGGTATTACCTAAATTTTACAGATGTGGAAAAAAGGAACTGCAATAACAAGGAAGTACAACAATCTTAAAAGACTTTTAATTTTTCTTCAGAAGCAGTACCTCTCATGGGAAGTTATAGATTCTTGTTGAATTTTCTATCCCTAGTTAAGGAATAGAGTTTCCACCAAGACTGATAATTTTCCTGTTGATCATTTGCCAGAACTAGGCTAATGGAGCACTGGGCTTCTTGACAGTATCATTTGATTTACCTAAAAAATGCATTACAGAATATAAATAAAATAGGTGTGCAGTCTCAGGTGCAAAGTCAAATTAAAAATGAGAATCTTCCATGTTGCTAGGACTGCTGGGTAAGACAGCAAGGATGAAAAAACATAGTTTCAAATACCAGGCTTTCAAAATTTTTATTCAGTGGGGGAGGAAAACAACACTACTACATATACCTGTTTCAAGCTTTTTGCATTTTTTAACAAAATTCTAAAAAACACTTTCACAGGGGTTAATTCTCTGTAGAAGACAGACTGACTGGCAGCCAGTGTCTCCCCAACACTTCAGAATAGAGAAAACTTATTATTTTCCAAACTGATCCACTTTAAAAAGAAGAGGTTATAACCTCTAAGCAAACATGGAACTAAAAGAGGAGGGGGAACTGGACCAGGAGAGAGGTCAAGACCACATTTCCTTCTTCAGCTCATCTAGTTGCCCTTTGATGAGGTGTAATATCTCTTTGAGCTTCATTTTCTGTGCTTCTTTTGAATATGGTCAAAATAAAATGTTTGCTTTCCATCCAAGATGCTTTTCCAGATGAGATAATGCATGTGAGATAGTGATTGTAGAAGCTTTGCAAATGGTAGAATCAATAAAAATATTAGGAATTTTTAATATTTCAGCTGCAGCTTGGAAAAATGAAAAAAAAAAGACATGCTAGATTAAATTGTTCTAATGGCATAAGATTCCATACACATTATTTAGGGGCATAGGTTGAATTACTATTTCTATTTCATTAAAAAATCTAATACCTATTTTATTTTTATTTCTGATGCTTTCAACCTCAAAGGTATTTGGACCTTGTTATGAGACAGTAATCCTATAGGAAATATAATGTTAATAGATAAGTAGAAGAAATAGTATGAAATAGGAAGGAATATCTTCAAATATTTGCACTTTAAATTTCCTTAAATTTTAAAAATTCTTACTAAGCTAAGAATCTCATTTACTAAAAACTCTCCATAGAGCTTATAGATAGTTCATGTGCTATTTTAATAAAGAGTTGATGTTGTTTAGGAGCAGCAGAACTAAGGAATGTTTGGACCTATAATTTTCAGCAAAGCCTCTCCAGTGTTCCCTAGTCTTTAGTGGGAACTTTCTGTGGCTGCCATATTTTAACAGGTCTTCCTAAAAAGGTGAAATTATTTCTAACTAAGAAGATTAGGAAAATGATCATGAGAAAGGACATTTTGAGTCAGTCCTTAAAAGATGAAAAAAATCTGAAAAACGAATAGCAAATCAAAGGAGGACACACTAATGCCAACCATATAGATAACATAAGTATTCTGACACTCATAGGAGATTTCTGTCATCGATTATGTTGTTCTTATCCCTCTTTTTCTGTCTTAAATTTAAGAATTAGACCTAATTCAGTATGTCTCATTTGTACAGTTTGCCTGGTCACATAGGCAATTGACAAGTACTAAAACTTTCTTTTATGTAACAGAATGCAAGGATTACCTGGACTCAGGTACTTTTAAAAAAGCATATTTCTAATTGAGACACCCCTTTTTTATCTTTAAGAAAAATGAAAAAAAAAAAAAAAAACAAAGTTCACCAAAAGCTCCAGGGATGGGTAAAGCAGGTGGTAGAACAATGGTGCTCTCAGCTGAATGCTAATTCATGCTGGACTATATTAGTCCTCCCAAAACCCAACTAATTGCACCCACAGTCCTCTCAAGGGTAAAAGTCAAGGTTTGATTTTGAGTCCTTTGAAACTTCCTGAAGTTTTAAGTTCTTTACTCAAAGTGCAAAGCAGAATGGTCCCAGCCCTTTTCTGCCCTAAAGCCTGTTATTTGTAAGATGTTTGGACATTTCCAACAGTAAACATGAATTGTGGACTCTCAAATACATTTACTGCCTCATTTATCTTGCCAAAACTCAAACAGATCCCAAAAGAATAAATACAGATTTATGTAGAAGTGTTATCAGGGCCCACTGACGGATCCAGATGCATTGATATATGCAATACTTTGAGTCTCATTGGAAAATATTTGTATCTTCTTTTGTAGCTGTAATTGGAGAGGCATTAGACTTCAGGTGTTCTCAAACTATTTCTAGTCATAGACACCATCATATACAGAATAAATGACCCTTTCAAAAATACATTTTTATTAACCTAAATTCTAAGATCTTACTTTCCAAAAACCTCTCCCCAAAAGGCCTGTACCTGATAACAGAAATCACACCATTTCCTATGGATGAGGCATGCTTCCCTCTAACAAACAGATGTCACAGGAAGGTGTATTCTATTTATTTACTTCTTAGAGTATTGACTGATCAGCAACTTCCTAATGAGGCAATGCCCTGAGAATGGATTCATGGGGAGTGAGCATGGACAGGTACAGGTATGCCGCAAACAGCTGGAGTACGGGAGGCCAGTGCAGCCTGGCCCTGAGTTCAGGAGTACCTGGTAGACACGTGGAAGGTGGCTTAAGAAAGAATGAAAGGAAAGAGCAGTTTTCAGTGTGTAAAAGATAAATCTCCACTTTCAAAACTCTCTGGGATCACTTCTGAGTCTTTGGATGACATTTATAAATATGTTCTTTAATTCTTGAACAATAGTGTGGAATTAGCTAGCAAAAGGTTTTGTTTACAGTAACAATCTAAAAAGCCCAGCTAACCCAGAGCCACCTCATTTGCCAAAGTTCACTTTGTACTTTTGATATAAGTATGCAGAGATTCATGGGAATGCTTATTGACCTTCAGAGCTAGAACATAGAGGAGTTGTAAAAGTACTGTACATAGGAAGCTAAAACCTTTGTTATCCTAATTGAGAAGCTAATTTGTTACATTTCCTTTCAATTGCTCTTCCTGGCAGTGAATCCAGTATGACCTTACAAGGGACCACAATCTGCTGTGGGACTACCCCCCTGCCCCGCCCTGGGGGCTCTCAAGCACTCTGGTGTTCTGGTTCTCTCTCTCTCTGTAGGCTACCCTCATGAAGTGAGTTGCTGCTATGTTGATGTACATTGCTGCTATGTTTGAGTTCCTTGGATGTTGACATTTTTATTTGGAAAAGAAACAAGTCATAATAGCAGCAACAGAGTTTGGAGAAAGAACTAGCTATTAAATAATTCCTAAATGAAATGCCCTTTCAAATGACTGCAGGGACAAGATTTATTTACTAAGGCATTTTTAATATGATATTACATGATTAATATTTTTTCAAGTTCTAGATTTTCCTTTCTCATTCAATAATCTTTCCTATTTTTCTTATTTAACATCTTTTAATGACATGGTCAAATGATGGTAGTTTTCCTACTTAAGGGAAATGTCTTAAGCCCCTTCCTTCTAGCTAAATTAACTTCACTGTAGTTTTTAAAATATGAAGTTCTCAAATAGATATGTAAGTACTTTTTCTGTTTTTATTGACTTTTTCATTGCTTTTGTTCTCCAAAGACTTTGAAGAAAGTTTGCAACTATGAGGAGTTTCATGCAGTAACTTTGACTTGATATTTTTTTAGTCAACCTGTCCAACTACAACAGACTGCTCCAGACTAAGTTCCTTTGGTCTACACTAGTCTGTCTCTATTCTGAATTCTTAACACTGGGATTAAAGCCTATGATTTAAGACTGTAGATAAGATGTAAAATTCCAAAACTGATAAACCATTGATTAAACTTCGTTCTAACTTTTGTTTCTATTTTTCTCCCCTTTACCCCAAAGAATAAGAAAGTAAAAGATTCCACACCTTTACCAGTGAATAGGTTAAAGATCATTATCAATGGAGCAGAAATGCTTACTGCTATCATTTTTTTAATTAAGTTTTTTTGTTTTGTTTTAATCCCAGTACAGTTAACATACAGTGTTACAAGTGTGCAATATAGTGATTCAACACTTCCATACAACACGCAGTGCTCATCACAACAAGTGCCCTCCTTAATCCCCATCGTCTCTCTCACCTATCACTCCCCTCCCTTCTGGTAACCATCAGTTTATTCTGGATAGTTAAGAGTCTGTTTCTTGGTTTGTCTCTCTCTCTTTTTCCCCCATCTGCTCATTTGTTTTGTTTCTTAAATTCCACATATAAGTGAAATCACATGATATTTGTCTTTCTCTGACTTATTTTGCTTAGCATTATACTCTCTAGCTCTATCCCTATTGCTGCAAATGGCAAGATTTCATTCTTTTTTTATGGCTGAATAATATTCTATTATATATGTCTTCTTTATCCATCCATCTGTTGATGGACACTTGAGCTCCTTCCATAATTTGGCTATTGATAGGGGTGCATGTATCCCTTTGAATTAGTGTTTTTGTATTTGGCAGGGGAGGAGGGGAGTTATTTGCAAATGACATATCTGATAAAGGGTTAGTGTCCAAAATATATAAAGAACTTATACAAGTCAACACCAAAAAACCAAATAATACAATTAAAAAATGGGCAGAAGAACAGACATTTCTCCAAATAAGACATCCGGATGGCCAACTGACACATTAAAAGTTGCTCCATCTCACTTATCATCAGGCAAATGCAAACCGAAACTACAATGAGATATCATCTCACACCTGTCAGAAGGGCTAAAATAAAAAAACACAAGAAACATCAAGGGTTGGCAAGGATGTGGAGAGAAAGGAACCCTCATGCACTGTTGGCGGGAATGTAAACTGGTGCTGCCACTGTGGAAAACAGTATGAGTTTCCTTAAAAAGTTAAAAATAGAACTATCATTTATTTTGATTGAGGAAAAAGAATGATCAGAAGTTAATTGTGCCCCCAAACAATTGTATTTATTTTCAGAGATATGAGAAATTCATTTTAATTTTTCATAAATCCATATTTTAAGGCATAAAATGGATAACAAATTATATTACATTATAGTTGTAGCATAATAACATCATAGTGCTAACTTCAGTGGAAGGTTAAATTCACTACTTCAATTCCATGTGAACAAATTAAGAGGAACCCACAATTTACCGGCCTCTTTGTCAGCTAAAAACACACATCTGTTGGGGACTCTACCAAATCAGTAACATTCTGTGGTTGACCTACAAATCAGTGCCTGGCTCGAACTCTTACATTTATATCCTCTACGACCTTGGATGAGTCACATACTCTCTTAAATCTCAGATTATCTATTTGCAAAATGAGATGATGGAATTAATTTCTTTGTTAATATGGTTTTCATTGCTGACCCCTCTGAGAAGTTAATGAAAGTGATAGAAAACACATGTACCTGCAGACACTAAAGTATACACGACTGTTGGGATTTAAGCTCCCTCAAATCTTGTCCTTGGACCATTGTTAAAGAAGCCATGGACCAAATGATCCTTAGAGACCTATGTCACTCTAATGTCCTACGACCCTCTGGCTCTCTCTTTTTTTTTTTTTAAGATTTTATTTATTTTTTAGAGAGTGAGCGAGAGAGAAACAGCATGAGAGGGGAGAGGGTCAGAGGGAGAAGCAGGCTCCCCACTGAGCCGGGAGTCCGACGTGGGACTCGATCCCAGGACCCTGGGATCATGACCTGAGCCGAAGGCAGACGCTTAACCATCTGAGCCACCCAGGCGCCCCTTCTGGCTCTATTTTTATTTTAAATTGTCTTAAACAGTAAAATGAGAGAGAGAAAAAAAAGGAATAAGTGTATAACATAAGCAACACATATCTGGGTATTAACTATGAATTTCAATACTAGATTGTGGTGATAATAAGCAGTTTGATATGCAGAAATAAATAAAATATATCAGCACTGACACTGCATTTTAATAGTAATGTTTTAAATGATAAATGGCTATTTATTACAAGATGAATTGATTTATACATCTTCTAAAGGTACATATTCTCATTTCATTAAAAAATTCCATAATGAAAAATATACTGATTCAAAGAACAGATTAAAACATAATGACTTCCAAATTAATACAGAAGACACTATTAATTTAACATAAATATTTTGAAGATGACTTTTAAATGGGTAATTTTTACATTTAGCATGTGTACTGTTAAAATATTCAGTTGAAATTATTTTACAATTAAGTTTGACTTAATAAAATAAGCTTCCTTATTTTTGTTTGAACAGTTTATCCTTGAAGTATGATTTGAAGCGATTTATTTATTCTTTTGAGCAGTTAAAACAATGGAATTGTCTGAATATAGCTAAGAAGAATTAAAATGCGAATTAACATTTTGAATTGTAATGTCAAATTCAGTCTTAAGTATAATGGAAAAGATGATTTGTTTTTCAGAACCAAGGTTTTAGTAAAAGGACTGGGTAGAGAGGAGATGGAAAGAAAGACAAAAGAAAAATTGGTTTTGCTTATCAAATAAAAACTGCTTTTTAAAAGATAGTTAAAATTTACTGAAAATAAAGTTCAGAAAAAAATGACAAGGTTTTATGCAGGAAATTTTGAAAGTATCACAAATTAAAGTATCACCATTTTAAGATTCATTAGTATTTCATTAGTATTTAATACTATCCAATTTTATAATTAAATGAGTAAAATTGGGGTTGTCGTTTTGTGAAATTTTTGTAGTACCATAAATTAGATTACTAATAGATATGAAGGAAATAAAAAGAGACTAAATGTTTCTTGCATTTTTCAGAAATTAAGTGGAAATACGTAAATTAAACAAAGAGGTTAAACAAAGACAATAACTACTAAGAATTTATAGAATAAATTAAAATCTGTTAAAACTTGGATTAAACCACTGTTGTTCAGATTTCCAAAATGTTTGATACATCTATATCATGTTCCTTCATCTTTCAGGTAGGAAACATGAAGTTCAGAGAGGTTAGGTAACTCACTCCACCTCAGTAAGAAGTATCAGAGTACAGGTTAGAACTGAAATTTTTTCCTTCAATCTTCCAGTCTCTTTCCTTTATATTTAGCCTGCATTGATGATTTTTGTTGTCTTTTGTAAAAGGTACTTAGTTACATTTTCTCTAGATTGTTTATGTACATGAGTTTGCTGTTATGTATCCATGCATGCACACAAAGTTAAGAGTAGACATTTCTTAATCCCAGAATCATTTTCAATGTAAACCCTACTTACTTGGAGATAACTCAGCATAGCAATAAGTTAAAGAAAGCTCCACATGATACACGTAATTTTACTCTATGCAAAAAGGTTTTTAAAAATATGAAAATGTTGTGAATAGCCTCTGAATGTAAGTTCAGTATTTTCTTAGTTCTTGGAAGAAATACATTTTGAAGTTTCATAGCAAAAGGGAAATAAATCGCCAGACAGGAATCCAGTGAATTCAGCCCAGTTTAGATAGCCAAATCAGATGATTTTTAAACAATAACCTCTTCCTTCTTCCTGGATTACCTCTACTTAGGCCAGTTGCCTCACTGCAAATATAAATTTGTTGTTCAGAAAACACTCTATTAACTAAGCTACTTGTAGAGATTTTTGTAAGTATACATGAATTTTATAAAATGTATTTATTCTCATAAAATTTGTCTTAAAAATGAAGACCTCTTGAATAATAGTCATGAACAGGATTCTCTATTTAAAAGGAGAAAACTAAAAATTCTTGGGAATGTGCAAACAATAATTTGTTGACCTTTTTCCAAAAAGCAACTCCTCAATGACCATCTCCCATTGCAGGGCATGGATCTATATGGACAGCAATCTCACAAGCTACACAATAGAGTGAGCAGGCTTAAGGTCCACAGAGGACTAGAGGATCCCATTCTCCAGCTGGGTTTCCACATAAACTGCCTTAGTGTCTTTTGGTTATTAAAAATCATATATTTGCTTGGTGACCAAGATTAATTTATTAATGTTATCTACCTACATTAGAATATATGTTGTCACTATTAATGATTTTTAGCATGTACTTACCATTACGTAGAAGAATTATAATTGTACAGTGTTTTATAGTGTGCAAAGTAATTTTATAGGCACTATCACATATAAGCATGAAATCTTTGGTTAAAATATTCTCTGCTGGATAGGTGAAAGCATTGAAGTTCAGAGAGTTGAAAACAGATTACTAAGATCACAAAGCATTATTTTAGAGAAGTGACACGCCTATTCTTTAAAACTGTGTGGAATAATGCTGTTTGTTTTATTACATGTATTTGGGTGCTATTAACAACCATCTGAAATGGATGCTTAAGCTATCTCTGTTTAAGTAATTCACAGGTATGCATGTTTTGGTTCACTACCTGTGTATTCTTACCTGTATACCTTAACTTTTTATCAACCATGTTATTATTATTTTTTATTTTTTAGAAATTCTTAGTGATGGGACACCTGTGTGGCTCAGTCAGTTAAGTGTCTGCCTTCAGCTCAGGTCATGATCTCAGAATCCTGGGATTGAGCCCAGAGCCCAGCATTGTGTCAGGGTCCCTGCTCAGCAGGAAGTCTGCTTCTCCCTCTCCCTGCCCCTTCCCCCCCGCTTGTGCTTACTCTCTCAAATAAATAAAATCTTTTAAAAAAAGAGATATTCTTAGTGATAATTATCCTTTAGTAAATCAAATACTACAAACACTTCAACCAAAATCAGAAATTTGACCAAGCTGAATGTAAACATTCTTTAGCTAAATTGATATGAATATTGCATAGTAGTTTCTCCCCTCAGTTTGAATTTTGTTGCATAATTTATAGATTTTAACCTTAGATATTCTATATTTTCTCAAGTTTTGTGGGAATTGATATGATGATATGTTTCTTAATATCCATAATTTCAATAACTGAAATGTCATTTAGGAACTTGAATAACTTTATAATAATATGTGGTTTGTAAATCATAAAATTTTTACAAAAAATCTAACCATTTGTTGACACTGATCTAAGTTCTTAAAATATTTTTATTTGAAAAATTCCTCATGGTTCTCTAATGCTTCAGTAAGAACACTGCATCTTTGAATCATTGTCATCATTAGGAAATGTGTAAGATTTGTGAAGATCTAAATAAATCTGACAAGTAAAAACATTTCCTCTGTTCTGTATCATCCAGGCTGGTCTGATTTAATCTTATTTAAAGGAAACATTTCTATTGTGCAGTTCTGCTAAAACTCTTTTAATAAATTAAGAATTAATTTCAAAATTTAAATATAAATCCTATGAATAATTCAATTTACACTGAACTTTTTCTTTTTGTCCAACACATGACCCAGTTTAAGTGTTTTTTAATGGAAATACTTAGTGTCTATACCTGTCTTACCTTTAAATCAGGTTTAGATGATTATTTTTTTTATGTGATTAGTTTTATGTATTTATTTTATTATGTTCAGTTAGTCACTGTATCATTAGTTTTTGATGTAGTGTTCAATGATTCATTGGTTGTGTATAACACCCAGTGTTCATCACACACGTGCCCTCCTTAATACCCATCACCCTATTACCCCATCCTCCACCCCCCTCCCCTCTGAAACCCTCAGTTTGTTTCCCAGGGTCCATAGTCTTAGGCTCCAAACCCAGTGTAGAACCCAAGATGGTTATTTTTCTTAACTTTTGGCATATAAGAATTAAAACATGAAGATAAAGTATGGAAACTTTTAAAAGCATTAAGATACCATTTTTATCAGGACTATTTAGTAAATATAGCAATGGAAATATTGAGAATATGAATTTATCCTCAAAATTCCAACCATTAAAAAACATTCCTTGTCGACTGGGCGGAGCAAGATGGCAGAGGAGTAGGAGACCTGGATTTCGTCTGGTCTCAGGAATTCAGCTGGATAGGGATCAAACCATTCTGAACACCTACAAACTCAACAGGAGATCAAAGAAAAGAATAGCAACAACTCTCTGAACAGAAAAGCGACCACTTTCTGGAAGGTAGGATGTGCAGAGAAGTGAATACAAGGCGATATTCGGGAGGATAGATGGCAGGGGAAGGGGGCCTCTGTGGGCCACTTCTGGCAAGTGATAGGGCAGCGGAGCACAAAATCAGAAATTTTAGAAGTCTGCTCTGCTGAGGGATGTCGCTCCAGGGGCTAAATGGGGGTGGAACCCTCGTGGGACAGTGTGGTCTCAGGATCCTTGGCATCACAAAAAGACTGGGGGTGCCTGAGTGCGGCAGAGCTCCCAGGTATCAGAGCGGGGAAGCCAGCTGCAGAGACGGAGCTGAGGAGCGGGCCTTCAGTTCCGGGTTGCCATAAACTGTGATCCGTGGCACAGTCGGGCCACTGCTCCTCCAGCAGGGACCCAACAAGCAGCAGATCCGGGGAGACTCCCCTTCTTCCCAGGGGAGGAGCGGCATGGGAGCACACTGCAGGGATCTGCTGGGTTTGGAGAATCCGCACAGGGTCGGATGCCAGAGATAGAAACGCTTGGCTGGGTGAGTGTGGAGTGTGGCCAGAGACCGGGGAGACAGGAGTGACTGCTTTTCTCTGGGGGTGCATTGAGGAGTGGGGCTCTGAGTTCTCAGCTCCTCCGGGGTGGAGATTGGAAGGCCACCATTTTCACTCTCCTCCAAAGCTGTACGGAAAGCTTGCAGGGAACAAAAGCTCCTGAGAGCAAACCTGAGCAGATTACTTAGCCTGGAATGGCAAGGGTGGGGCAATTCCGCCTCTGGCAAAGACATTTGAGAACCGCTGCAACAGGTTCCTCCCCCAGATCAGCAAGAACAGCCAGCCAAGACCAAGTTTACCATCAATGAGAACGGCAGAACTACAGCACTAGGGGAATACTACACATAGAATCCATGGC